TTAGTAATATCAGTTTTAGTCTGGCTGATAAACTAATTGATTCAAGTGGTATGCTGAAATTCTCTGTTATAATCATGCCGTTATTTCCTTTTGAATCTCTTATTATACTTTTTTATAAAATATACCTGTGTTGGTGGGCTGGAGCGATAGCACGGAAGGTAGGGTGTTTGCCTTGCACACAGCTGACCCAGGTTTGATTCCTCCACCCCTCTCAGAGAGCCAGGCAAGCTACTGAGAGCATCCCTTCCTCTCGGCAAAGTCTGGCAAGCTACCTGTGACGCATTTGATATGCCAAAAACAGTAACAAGAAGTCTTACAATAGAGACGTTATTTGGGCCCGCTGAAGCAAATCAAGGAATAACGGGAGGACAGTGCTCACAGTGCTAACCCCTGTTGGTAACATTATATTAATGAGAGTTATATCAGTGTTGGTGATCACTTTGATAATTATACATTATTGTATTAATGTTTATCTTCTATAATCTTTTTTATTGTTGCATCTGTCTTAACAGATATGTGACTAACCGTTCGTGTCCATTTTTCTGTTATTAGCATAGTCTCTTCAGTTTTCACTACATCTATGTTTATCTTTAGATCTGTATGAATCTCTTTTATGTACTGTGTAGAGGAATTCTTTAAATACTTAATGTAATTTTTTCATGAGTTTTTATCTATATTTGTATGATTTGTTTCCTTTTAATTTCTTTGGAGAGTCTCTTTTTCATATTTATATATGAGTGTATGTGTGTTATCTTAAGAAAATCATTGTTTATCATGATTATCATGGGAATTGTATCAGTCTTTTTGTGTAAAGATCATCTTTTTTTCTGTGTGTGTTCTTGTATCTACTTGTCTTCATTAGACAAAAGTCTCTCCTTCACCTCCTCCCAATTAATATTTTTATTGTCTAATTTTATTCTTGTATATGTTTTTCATTTTGTATTATAGTTTAATACTTTGCTTCAGGTTTTATTTAAGCTTTTCTTTTCATGTAGAAGAAATCCTCTCAGCATTTTTTGTAGTCCAGTTGTGTGCAGGCAAACTCTATTAGCCTTTTTGGTTGAATTGGTAGACCCTTTATTTCTCTTATTTGAAAGGTAGTATTTTAATGGATTCTAGTTTTATCTTTTAAAGTTGTTAATGTTTCATTCTACTTTCTCTTAGCCAGTAGATTTTCTACTAATAGATCTAATGATAGTTTTATTGTGGTGCCTTTGTATGCTTTTTTTTTCTTTGCACTCTTTAATATTTTTTCTTTATTGTTGACTTTGATAACTTGGCGTTGTAACTTGATGAAGGGTTGTTGTGTTTTTTTTTCTTTTTGGGTTATACCCAGTGATGCTCAGAGGTTACTCCTGGATCTACACTCAGAAATTACTCCTGGCGGTTCTTGGGGGATCATATGGGGTGCTGGAGATCGAACCCAGGTTGGCCATGTGCAAGGCAAATGCCTTACCCGCTGTGCTATCGCTCCAGCCCCCAATGCAGGGTTTTTTTGCATTTGGAAATTTCATTGTCCTATCAACTTACTAGACTTCTGGAGTTAGCTCTTTCTGCACTCTCGGGATGTTTTCAGCTATTATTTCTTTAAATTCGCTGTTCCCCGCCCCCCCCTTTCCCATTTTCTGGTATACCCATGATCCTTATGTTTCTGCTTCTTGTTGAATCTGATCCTTTTTATTTTTCCTAAATCTTTTTTCTCTCTCCTCTACCTTATGTGTCATTTTTACCTTCAGTTCTGCTGATTGTTACCTCCTCAAGATACATCTGCTTGCAGTGCTCTCCATGGACATTTGCATTTTGTGTATCAATATTCTCAACATCTGCTTATTGTTCTTGTAGCTCCAATTTCTTTGGTACTAATTTCTTCTGATCCTTCATTTCTTTCTAATTTCATCACGGTTTCATTTTGTTAGAGGGCATTTAGCATATCTCATTGGTTTTCTTCATCATCGTTATTTTTAATTCACTGTCATTGGACTCTTCATTTCCATGTAAATAAGATTTATTTCTAAAGATTTTTATTTCTCATTCTTTCTCTGTCACAGCATTTGTTATTCCTGGAGTTTACATTGTTTTTTTTTTTTTCCAGAAGGAAATGTTGTAATTCTGGTTTTGGAGTTCTTTTCTGTGTTTCATAACTTCAGTGGTGTGGGGAGATTGCGGTCAACCTCTCAGGAGTTTCCTCCATTTACTGTCCTGCATGGGTGGGGCCAGCCTAGATATAAAATGCCTTGAGGTTCCCACTCCCCTAGTGACTCAATTCATTCATAATCTGAGCCCCAGAGGCCACACTCCCAGATTTCTTCTCCAGGTCTAGCCACACACTGCTGTAGTGGTCATGGCTTACTTGAAGATAGATACCTCTGGTTCTCCTAGAGACAATAGGAAATCATTGAGAATTCTATGCTGAACCCTTGCTAAAATATTTTCAATTTTATTAGATCTGGAGCTGAGGTTTAGTACTGGATCACATGCTCCTGGGCCCTGCTACAGGACAAATACATGTGTGCAGACATGGGGCTTAGTTATGAAGACAGACTTTCCTGAGTCTCCAGGAAGCTGAAGGAGTCTCAATCTACCACACTTTTCCAACTAAAATCATGAGAGCTTTGTGTCCTGCTACAATACCCAGCTTCAGGAGTCTTCTCCACCGTGAGGAGATTCAATGGAGTCTAGAGATATATGTCTCCTCCTCCAACGTCTAAATATCTCCACCTCTCTCTTGTCCCTATGCTGCTGTGACTTAGCACTGACCATCTAACTGTCCTCTCGCAATTCTACCAACACCAGAGGCCTGACAGTCCTCGCCGCCAGGAACCCACGTGACTTTGTCCCTCTGCCAGTACCTTCATGTGTGCGGAGAGTGGTCTCAGGATGGTGGTGGCTGGTCCTGGAGGTTTTTGGCTGCCGGAGCCCTGATCGGGGTGGGGAGGAAGGCTCAACCCGCTCCCCTCCAAGGGGCCCTGGCGGCGAGGACAGTCAGGCGCGGGGGCAGGAGACTGACTGCAGGTCAGCAAAATTAAGACTGACATAACACATAGGTAATAGCCAAATTGCATCAGATTTGGAAGTATCTAATAGGATGGATAATAATTAAAATATATATCTAATTCTAATCATTGTCTGTCTGTTGGTAATGCCAACTGCTGTCATTGAAAAGACTGAATTTTTTTCAGAAAAATAGAAAGAGAAAGTCTTCATTGAAGCTATCTCCTTGTATCATTGGAAGCCTATTTTTATTACCTATAGAAGTCATGATTTTGAATTTATTAGGAGCTGTGATGAATGATAAAACAAATCATCCATTTACATATCTTGACACTGCTTTGGAGAATACGTATTTCTTACAAGCAAGTGTCACATTGTATATAAAAGCTGGCTAATTGTGTGCTAATCTTCTGCATTATCTAGAACTCTCTGATGTGGTAGTCTATCAATGGTAATATTAATTTTCCTTATTTCAAATGTATGAAATATCTTCTAAAACCCAATTTCTTTAGTAATTTCTCTTCTCTTGTATAATTTTGCATTCATCTGCTAATTAAGATGAGAAGTGCAAGTTATAGAAAATATATCCTCTTTCACCCGTCAAGCGTTTGTAGTAGATGAAAATACTAGCATTCTGTCCATTTTAAATGTAAAAATGAGAAAAGCATTTAAGAACATTACTAGATGTTGTGTTTGTTTTCATGTTTTTTTTGCCTGCACAGTTCAATAGTTTCATTGATCTACTGTTTCTTACAAAAATCTGCCATGCTTTGTGAACCTCAGTTTCTAATCTCATACAGCAACCCTTCCTTTATGTTAGTTCTGCTCTCCCTGGTCCCAGAACAGTAGGGTTGCCTTGACAAATCTATTCAAAAGCCATCCCTCAGCCTTTATTGGTGGGGACTGGGGCCTTTGAAATTCTCTCCTCACTGCAACACAGCTGACATCTTCTTCCAGACAGAATGAATTAAGGAAATACAATAAGACACTTGATCTACCAGTCAAGGATCTTTCCACAGTGAAGACGGATTCCATGGTGCACAACCAGGGCAGCAAGCATCTAAAAATACACAATACATGCTTGTTTACCAGAATAGCAATCAGCGATTTCGCCAACATGATTGATAGGATGATTTCTTTTAAAATAAAATCTGTCTGGAAATTGAGTGTGTGTGTGTGTGTGTGTGTGTGTGTTGGATTTTTTTTGTTTAAAAAAACATGAAATTAATCACATATTTAGGCCAGATTTCCAGACTTGAAATATCTAGAAAAAATATAGATTACTTTTTATTTCACTTGAGTTGAAAATCATTTTTTTAATCTCCAAACTTATTATTATATTATTAAATGTACCTCTTTGTTACCCAGACACATTAGGAAATTTATGATGAGTTGTAAATCATTTTTATCTTTAATATTGAAGATTGTGTCCACAGACATAGCTTCTGTTTAGCAGGTTATGTTTCTTTTGAACTGTTTTGATCGTCTTCTTTGAAACCAGTTATAGTAAATATTACAAAACAATATTTTTAGCATGAACAATATTTTAAGAATAAGTGAAAACTATATTTCCTCTGTTGTTGCAAATACAAAGAATATAGTTCCTATTCAAAATGTACTCATTCTTTTACAAGTTTTTATTTACATTTATTTCCAGTTGGAATTTAAGAATATGCACCTTTAAGATATTTTCCTTAATTCTGTTGCCTGTATTTATTTGTTTACTTCTAGTGATGTAGTTTTCTCTTAGAAATATTCACATAGTGTCACAATTCACATAAAATTACATGGCCTCTTGTTGTTTGCACGGCTTATTTGCTAAGTTGTAAAGATATTTTGTTTATTGTCATGTTGAGGATAAATACTATTTACATACATTTTCGCTATATTAAAAATAAATTTAATATACTTCTTGGTTTTGGTTACATAAGATAACACATTTCTGCAGCCTAAATTGTTGGTCCTGATTTAAATCTTGTTTAAAGATTGTTGTCTCTTTTGTATTGCAGAACTGTTGTAACTGGGTCTCCAGTTCAGAGCCATTAGACACATCAGTGGAATCCATGCTTCCTGACTGCCCCCGCGTCTCAGCAGGTATGTGTTTGATGAGAGATGCATGGAGCCCTTTTCCAGGCCCATGCAAAAGGGTTAGCAGCCCTTTTCTGCTAACCAAAATGTGGAGATCCATTTTGAAAATTAAACATTTTGTTCTGACATTGAATCATTAAGAGAATTATTGGTAACATGAGGCAGGGATCTGATCTACTACCCAAAATTCATTCAGTAGCTGAAAATACATTCCCACAATCTCAGTAAACTAAGTGATGTGTTTTGATAAGTAATAGAGACAGTGTGTGTGTTGAAGTTTAGGGAAATAAATTGTGCTTAAACTTGAAAATTGGTTAAAATAAGGACAAGGAGAGTCGGAGAGATAGTATGGATATTGAAGCACTTAGCTTGCATATGACCTGTGCATATTATACCGCCAGCACCACGTGGGGCCCCCAAGCCTTGCCAGGTACAGCCATGGAGGCCATGAGTGTTTTCAGAGTGCCCGGGGAATTTGTGGTGCCACAGGGCCCAAGCAACACTGCATCCTCAATCATTCATGATGAATCTCCATCCCAGTTGGCTGAGAGTTACCAGGTGGGACTTACCAAGCCTACTGAGCACTGCTCAGGAGACTGAAATGTTTTCATAATAATAACTGAGTAGCCATACAGGATCTCTAGCAGATTATTTGTATAATTCAGTATCGATTCAGTGATCTGACAGTCAATGAAATGAGTTCAGAGAGGAATGTTGTCTGTAGAACAGTTTTTCATGAAATATATTTTGTCTGAACTTTATGTGTTACATAGCATTTAGTTTCCATGAGGTGGTTTGGGATGGCATTCTAGGCAAAAGAAACTGCAACGTAAGGAGTAACAACTGGAATTGATCTCCAAATGTTTACAGGGAATGAAAAACAAGAGTAGTCTGTTTATTGAAGGTAAGAAGCGGAAAGGTGAGCACCTCAGGAAGGAGATTGGCAACCAACAGTCTAAGGATGGCATTGATTTCTAGTCTACAGGATTTGTACTCTAGTATCTAATCCCTGATAAGAGGAGAGGTGACAGTTTTCATTGCTTTCTGGTTTTGACTCTTGCAATTCCTAACTTAGTCTGAATGGGAAACAATCGAGCTCTGGGCTCTGGTTTTGGCTGCAGGGTAGAAATGGGTTTGCTTTGGCTTTGGCCAGAGAAAGAACAGAAGTTGGGAATATGAAGTGGTGCATGTAAAAATTGCTAGGTAGAGCAATTCACTAAGTACTTGGAGTTGCAGATATGTTTTACATTTAGATGAATTCATTTGGATTAAAGGCCCTCCCGTTGATCGTCGATTTGCTCGAGCGGGCCCAGTAACGTCTCCATTGGAGACTTTGTTGTTACTGTGTCTGGCATATCGAATACTCCCGGTAGCTTGCCGGGCTCTCCGAGAGGGGCGGAGGAATCGAACTCGGGTCGGCCATGTTGGCCGCTTGTAAGGCGAACGCCCTACCCGCTGTGCTAAATACTGGCTGAAAACTATTGTGAAGCTAGAGAGCTAGAACAGCAGGCAGGGCACTTGCTTTATATGTGGCCAACCCAGGTTCAATCCCAGGCATCCTATATTATCTCCCAAACACTTCCAGGTGTGATTCCTTCGTGTAGAACTAGGAGAGAACCCTGAGTACCATCGAAGGTGGCCAAAAAAGCAATAAACAAAACTAAATAAATAAAATACAGGGACTTGAAAGATAGTACAGTCTGTAGGGTGTTTGCCTTGCTGACCCACAGTCAATGCCAGGCACCACATATATGGTACCCCAAAGCTTTGCCAAGTGTGATCTCTGAGCCCAGAGCAGGAAGTAAGCCCTGAGCAGAGCCAGATGTAGCCCCAAAATAAAACAAAATAGTACAAGTACGTGGAAAATGTGTCAGTACCTAGTTGCCAAAACGACAGTTAATTACTGAGGCTGGAGAAATAGTATGTCAGGTAATAGCACGGCACTTGCTTTGCATGCAGCAGACCCAGGTTTAATTGCTGGCATCCCAACAAACAGTCCCTGAGTCGACCAGGAGTGTGGCCCAGCTCTCGCTTTCTCTCTCTCTCTCTCTCTCTCTCTCTCTCTCTCTCTCTCTCTCTCTCTCTCTCTCTCTCTCTCCCTCCCCCCTCCCTTTTGGGCCTTATAGTTTGCCCAACCATGGACCAATAAATTGTTATATTTTATCTTAAGACATCAAGTCTTTGCATGAGGGATGACTAAGGTGTTGTTACAGGTTTAGCTTTCTACGTTAATGTTCTGTTAATTGAGATTGGTTGCCTTTTCCCATTTGTGGTACTACTACTGGTTTGTCGGAGTTATAAAGTTCGAGATGTCAGAAAGTTAAGAATTTTTATCAGTAATGATTGATTTTTAACTGGGGTCTGGGCAGCTTTGGGGTGTGGATGTGACTGCTGGGGCTTCCGAAGGTACAGGGAAGTTGGAGGAGGTAACCCATCCCAACTCTGAGAAAGCCTGGAGATCATCAGTCACAAAAAACACATACCTGAATTTTCAGCAGGCTAATTTCATAGTGAATTTCTTCCTGAGACTAGAGTCCAGCTGTCTGGACAATTTTCTGCGGCTTGTTGATCTCTTTCAAGATTTATTTATGAGTCTCTGGAGCAAGGCAGCTAGGTCTTGCTCTTGCATGGCAGCACTGGAGGTGGTTCATGGGTGTGACTCCCACATACCTAAATTTTGGGCAGTTTAATTTCTCAGAAGACTTGGTCCCGAGTCGATGGAGTCCACCTGAAGGTATGACAGAGACTTTGGGGTGTCAGGAAGCCTGAAGGCACCATCAGGCGGTTGATGCTCTTGTCCAGCAAACCCAGGTGGACCTGCTAGAGATGCTACCCCCTCTGGGCCCAGCAGTGGTAGGGACCAGGGTGGCAGCTGTGCCACCACTGCCATTCCACTGGACCCTGGCCAGGGGACTCTCATACTCTTCCTCAGGTCTGGTCTCCGGGTGGTCGGAGCCCAGGGAACTGAAGGACTCCCAGGATATTTTTCTCCAAGACTTCCTGCAGGCACCAACTACAGCGAGGCTGGTCGGAAGAGCAGTGGCAGCATTAGGCATGGCGGGGCCTCAGGCCATCAAGGATGCCCAGTGGTCAGAGAGCTACAGGGCCCATCCAAGTCAGCTTCTCACAGAGGGAACTGAGGAACTTTGGCAGCTCCAGGGGCCGCGCCTGCAGCAACACCAGGTTGAACTCGAAAAGCACTCTTTGAGAGAGAATTTTTTTTTAAATTTTTATTAGTGAAACACCATCAGCTACAGTTGTAGACTTACAAATTTTGGTGCTTGGGTTTCAGTTATACAATGATCCAGTACCCATCCCTCCACCAGTGCCCATTCCCCACTTCCAGTGCTCCCAGCATCCCTCCCACTCCCCTCCAGCCCTCCATCCCACCCCACTCCCGTGGCAGGGCATTCCCTTTTGTTCTCTCTCTCCTTTTGGGTGCTGTGATTTGCAAAAGAGGCATTGAGTGGCCATCATGTTTGGTCTGTGATCTATTTTCAGCACGCATCTCTCATCCTGGCAGGGTCCTCCCAACACCCTTTACTTGGTGCTCCCCTTAAAGAGAATGTTTAAATGACAGCCACATTCATTCACGCAGAGATTCTGTGACTGCAGCAGCCCACGATTGAGAGCACCAAGAGCTGCTGCGGCTCCACCAGCCCTGCTGCCTGCAGCCCCGCTGCCACCATCTTCCCCATCTTGAGCTCTACTCTGCATTACTTAGATTTGTTCCCACTGATACCCCAAATGACCACAGAAGCACCATGAGTCTTAAATTTAGAGTTAAAAGTTGAGTTTTAGTAAATGGATTAATCAAGAATACAGAGTTAACAAAATAAGCGAATTGGTTGGAGGCAGGACAGAATTTGTCACAGGGATTGGACCATAGCTGGAAAAGCTGTCTCTGTGAGACTGCTCCGTTTGCACCTGATACTGGAGCTGGAGTTCACAGAAGAGAGTCGTTAAAGGAAGATGGATATAAAGTGGTTTAGAGTAAGAATTAGCTAGAACCCATGTGTGTGAGCTAGACCGCATAAGGATAGATTTAAACCTATGTCAGTTTTTCTTGTCTTTGCTTAGTGGCGTGAGGGACTATAGAAGAAGCCCGTGTCATACAGATACTAAACATATACACACCTGGACCACTTGTCAGAGAGGCTGACAGAGAAAGGAAAGGTGAAGCGGAGGCATTCCTGGTTACTCTATCATGCCACCAGCCAAACCACCTAGTGAATCACATTCCCTAGCATGCATAAGCTAGAAATGGCTGCCTCTTCACTGAGCCACCTTGTGTAGCATTCTAACCAGAAACACAGCATTTGAAAAGGAATTCTGGGAAATGTAGTTTCCAACCAGATCATCTCATTACAGAACCTCCACAGTCTACCCATCATCAGCTTTGCACTCACATGCATCTTAAACCAGACATTAGCCTCAAATAAAGACGTTAATGAAGCCATGCTTCTCCCTTCTATTTCCTTGTCTCTGGTTCTATTTCTAACAACAATACTTAACATTTATGTTTTCCTGGATCCTCTGTGACATTAGTATGGATCACAAATACTGCACAGGAGCTAGAGTCACAGAGAAAAAAAAAAGAGTGAAAGATAGCAAAACAAATACTAATAAACAAAAATGCCTGGTAAGCACAAAAATCTAGAAATTACAACACTAAGAGAGACATCAGGGCACAGGTGATGGTGCAGTTGAAAGTGAGCTTGTGCTGTGGATTGCTGTCAGAAAAAGAGCTTATAAAATTTTTGACTGTGGGGCCGTGGTGATAGATTATATTGTGATGCACATGTCTAGCACACGGAGGCCCTGAATCCATGCAGATGTCTCTATACTGCTACTGGGGGAGAAGAGGGCGGCTCAAATGCCCCCACCCCCAGGCTGAGCAAGCTGGTTGTGGCCTCGAGTCCGTTCCTACTCCCAGTGCTACTGGGTGTGACCCCTTTAAAAGAAAATTGTTCAGTGTATGAGAAGGCATTCCCCAGGCTGAAAGG